CTGCGGCTGCCGGATTTGCCGGCTGCCCCCCGCCGCCGAGGGGAGGCACCGCCTGCTCGAGCACAAAGAGAGCAGCTCGGCCGAGGTGGGGGCTCCTCCTCCCCCGGCCGCAGCCTCTGCAGCCTCCTCCTCCTCCTCCGCCGCCGCCGCCGCCTCGAGCAGCACCGCCTCGAGCGCAGCACCGCCTCGCTCCTCGCCGGCGAGGCCTCCTTGGGCGTCTCTAGCTGAGGAGGCGGAGCCGTCCGAGCCGCCGGCCTCCTGGGACCGAATCGACAATTCCACCGTCTCCACCCCCACCATCACCGCCCCCGCCCTCCCCGCCTCCACCCAGAATTGCTTGAACGCAGCCGCTGGCGGCATGCTCCAGCGTGCGATGACGAGCGCAGCCACGTCGGATCAGCGACTGCTCTCGCGCTCTCCGCGGTCGCTCGCAGAGATCCTCGAGCGCAGGATGGCCGGGGGCGTCAGCCCGATCCCCACGCCGCCTCGAACGCCGCCAGACTCTCGCCGCGAGAGCTTGGCGTAAGTGCGAGTCAACAAAGCCCACTTGCGTTGCACACACTGAACGGTTGAGCCAGTTGTGTTAGTTTGAAAGAAGAAACTGCTTACGGCTTTAAACAGTTAAACTGAAAGTTTAATACATATACAAAGAAAACAGACAACAAATAGGAGTGATGGGAGGACGGCACGCCGCCACCAAAGGTGTTACTTCTGCGCCTTTCTTGTAAACCTCGTTCCGCGAGCCGGGAGCCGAAGCATTTATTTAGCACTTCACGGGCACTGTTCACGCATTGACAACCTATTCAAGAAGTGCAGCATAAAGTGCAGCGTGCGCTTTGTCCCAGCCCACTACTTCTCTTCCACCTGGTGGTGCGATGGGCTCCCTCCCGCGGGGAGAGGCGTGTCAGCTCGCTGCCAGCCCTCAGTAGCATCAGGTGCAAAGGAAAGAGTGGGCTGGTTTAATTCACAGTGAGCCTTCACAAAGCGTTGGACCAACCAAGCAGCGAGCGAGTTCTTTACCAGGTTGCAACCCTAGTTTCGCACTGTGCTGTGAACGCTGCTGGTTGGCGTCGGTTGCGCAGCACCCCGTCCCCATCCAGGTTGTTGGTTGCTGCCCCAGGAGCGCGCCGCCCGAGAAGCAAATAATCTACCGGTCAAAAACCGAAAAACGCAAAAACCAAAATTTGCGGCCGCCCCTCGGAATTTGCTGATCAAAATTGTGTGTCAAAATGGTGTGTAGCATCTACACTGGGGAGATCTTCCGGACAGGAACGGCGCAGCCACCAGAGACAGTACCAGACGAACTATCACGACACACGGCAGCAGGGGGGACGCAGCTGGATGGAAGTGACGACGAGAGCGGGGACGACTTTGACAGCGTCGTGGCGCGCTGTAACTTCGATTGGCCTGCAGCATCGAATGAGCCGAAACGAGGCACGAGGGCGACGCACTTCGTACGCTACGAGGAGATACAATTAGGCAAGGCAGCTGCGCAGGTGATGGTCCTGTTTGCAGAGAGGGGAGTCAAGGAAGGCCAAGAAATCACATGGTCATATGGGGACTCATACAGGAGCCACCGCAAGGAGATGGGATACAGGGCGGGGACCAGGGCGGATCCGAACGCAATAACACCCCAGCAAGCGCGGACGGCATTCGCGAGATACTGCAAAAAGATAGACGTGACGAAGGAGGAGCTAGCGTGGAACTTTGGATGCATATCGGCAAGCCAAAATAACGAGCAGGAGGCTGTCCTGGTGCGTGAGCTAATCCTGAGCAACAATAAGCGACTGTACCACGGAGCACAGAGCGCAGCAGACAGGACGGCGGCGACGGCGGACATGGCAGAGACGAGTGTGAAACAAAGGGCGGCGGGGATGGAGGGCGGTAGCGACGGGGATGGTGACGGTGACGGTGGCGAGGGAGAGGAAGGGGGTCCATTAACACCAGACAGCGAGAGGGGCAGGGAGGAAAGGGGGAGAGAGGAAGCCAACGCGACGTGCGCAGAGGATGAGGATATAAACTGGGACGACGCAGCGGAGGGGATAGGCGAGGGAATCGAGGGACCGGAGGGCTTTCGCGACAGCGACGATGACGACGAAGAAAGGGGAGGGGACGGAGGGGCGACACGCAGGAGGGGCGAAATCGCTAACGGCCCGAGCAGAGAGGGCGACGGCGGGGCACGAGGGAACAACGGAGACGCTACCGATGACGCGAACCGAGGCACGGACGCCGGCGGGGACGGGGAGGGCGACAGCGACGTCGAGGTTGACGCAACCGTATCGAGAGCGCCACCCAAAGGGGGGCGGACAGCCATGGAGGTCACCGAATGGAGGGCGAACGGCACGATACGAAAAGGCAGGGCGAGGCGGATAGAGAAAGAAGTGCCGAGAAGGCCATGGTGGAGGGGAGGGACGGGAGGACGAAAGAAGGGCGGGGAGGACGAGCGGCCCGCACAGACCGCGAGCAGACAGCGCCTGCTGGCCATTTCGAGACATTCGCCAAGAACGCTAGCTACATGGGAGGGCTTCGTGAAGGATGGATTGAAAAACATTCGAACAAAGAAGAGGCGACGGGAGGAACCGGCGGAGGATGCAGTGACGTGACACACACACACACACACACACACACACACACACACACACACACACACACACACACACACACACACACACACACACACACACACACACACACACACACCGCTCACCCACGCGCACTGGGCCTTGCACTTTGAATGCCGTGGGGCTCCTGTCGTCAGACGTGGAGACGCGAGGGTTGCCCCCCCTTGCCCCACCACCTCGTGTGTGTGGAGAAGTTTACCTTACCTTACCTTGATCAAAATTTGCGCATTGCGGTGCCGGTGGCCCGGATCGAAACCTGTACTTTGGCCCAATAGGGTTCTGTCAGGGTTACATTAGATCATCACACACTCAAACAGACAAACGAGACTAAACGGCGCCCTTGATCCAGGCGCCCTCCAGAGCATGCCGTTGCCGCGCGCGCGGCAAAGTCAAACCGCCCACCGAAGGCGTCATGATAGCTTACCTCATGATAGCCGATCCGCATGGACCAAGATCATACGCGCGGCGCCAAGCGCCACGCCGCGCGCGAAAGCAAGCCCCTATCACTGCGCCTCGCGCGCGATGGCGAAACCCAAGACGCAGTGGCCAAAGTCGAGCGCCGCGATGCCGTTCGTGGCTCCTGCCGAGTCGAGGTGGTACCGCTCGTGGATCTCGTAGATCGAGCGGACGAGGAGCGCCGCCCGCGCGCGGGCCGCCGCGGGGAAGAGCGAGTGGCTTGCCGGCGACCACGGCGCCGCCGCCCGCCGAACCAGCGCCGCCGCCTCGCCCTCGCCGCCCGCGGCGCGCCGCAGCGGCGTCGGCTCGCCCTCATGCAGGCTTGCGCCGCCGCGCAGGAGGGAGGTGGCGCGGGCGGCGGTGAGGGTCTCAAGGTGCGCGAGCGGCGTCCAGCCGCGGCTGGCGACCAGCCAGGCGGCGAGGTCGGCGTGGCCTTGGCTGTTTGCGGCCTCCTCGGGCGTGCCGAAGGGCGTAGCGGCGCGGGAGGCGCCGTAGGAGGAGAGGAGCTTGGCGACCTCGAGGTGGCCGTTGAAGCATGCCATGATCAGCGGCGTGGCGCCTTGCTCATCGGCCTGGTCGATCGCCGCGCCAGCCTCGAGAAGCAGCCGGGCGATCTCGAGGTGGCCGTTGAAGCATGCCATGATCAGCGGCGTGGCGCCGTTCTGCCGGGCTTGGTCGATCGCCGCGCCAGCCTCGAGAAGCAGCCGGGCGATCTCGAGGTGGTCGTGCTGGCACGCCATGAACAGTGGCGTGGCGCCGCCGTTCATCGCTTGGTTGATGTCAGCGCCAGCGTCGCGTAGCAGCCGGGCGCACTCGACGTGGCCCTTCTCGCTCGCGATGAACAGCGGCGTGACACCGTCCTTGTCCGCCTGGTTGATGTCAGCGCCAGCGTCGCGTAGCAGCCGGGCGCACTCGAGGTGGTCCTCCTGGCTCGCCATGAACAGCGGCGTGGTGCCGTCCTCCAGGGCTTTGTTGATGTCAGCGTCGGCCTCGAGGAGCAGCCGAACGCACTCGGGATGGCCCTCCTGGCACGCACAGCGGCGTGGTGCCGTCGTTGCGGGCTCGGTCCATCGCCGCACCAGCCTCGAGGAGCAGCCGGGCGCACTCGAGCTGGCCCTGCTGGCTCGCAATGAACAGCGGCGTGGCGCCGTCATTGCGGGCTTGGTTGAGCGCCGCGCCGGCCTCGAGGAGCAGCTGGGCGCACTCGACGTGGCCCTTCAGGCTCGCGACGTACAGCGGCGTGAAGCCTTCAGCGTCTGCTTGGTCGGTCGCCGCGCCAACCTCGAGGAGCAGCCGGGCGCACTCAATCTGGCCCTCCTGGCACGCGATACACAGCGCGGAAGTGCCGCGGCCAGTCGTCGCCCCGACGCTCGCGCCGCTGTCGAGCAGCAGCCGCGCCGCCTCGGCCTGCCCGTGACGAGCGGCCCAGGTGAGCAGCGTGTCCTGCTTCTCGGTGTCGTGCCGCGCGTCGAGCTGGGCCGCGAGCGACGTGCCGCGCGTCCGCCGCCCGGAGAGGAAGGCGCGCAGCGAGGCCAGGTCGCCCCGAGCCAGGTCGGCGAGGCGGGTTGGGCAGGCGCCGCTCATGCCGCCAGAAAGAAGAAAAACGTTCGCTTTCTCTCGCATGTGCCAAGAAATCTACCGGTCAAAAACGCAAAATTTTTGCGGCCGCCCCTCGGAAACGGAATTTGCTGATCAAAATTTGCGCATTGCGGTGCCGCTGGCCCGGATCGAAACCTGTACTTTGGCCCAATAGGGTTCTGTCAGGGTTACATTAGATCATCACACACACTCAAACAGACAAACGAGACTAAACGGCGCCCTTGATCCAGGCGCCCTCCAGAGCATGCCGTTGCCGCGCGCGCGGCAAAGTCAAACCGCCCACCGAAGGCGTCATGATAGCTTACCTCATGATAGCCGATCCGCATGGACCAAGATCATACGCGCGGCGCCAAGCGCCACGCCGCGCGCGAAAGCAAGCCCCTATCACTGCGCCTCGCGCGCGATGGCGAAACCCAAGACGCAGTGGCCAAAGTCGAGCGCCGCGATGCCGTTCGTGGCTCCTGCCGAGTCGAGGTGGTACCGCTCGTGGATCTCGTAGATCGAGAGGATGAGGAGCGCCGCCCGCGCGCGGGCCGCCGCGGGGAAGAGCGAGTGGCTTGCCGGCGACCACGGCGCCGCCGCCCGCCGAACCAGCGCCGCCGCCTCGCCCTCGCTGCCCGCGGCGCGCCGCAGCGGCGTCGGCTCGCCCTCATGCAGGCTTGCGCCGCTGCGCAGGAGGGAGGTGGCGCGGGCGGCGGTGAGGGTCTCAAGGTGCGCGAGCGGCGTCCAGCCGCGGCTGGCGACCAGCCAAGCGGCGAGGTCGGTGTGGCCTTGGCTGTTTGCGGCCTCCTCGGGCGTGCCGAAGGGCGTAGCGGCGCGGGAGGCGCCGTAGGAGGAGAGGAGCTTGGCGACCTCGAGGTGGCCCTCCTGGCACGCGGAGAACAGCGGCGTGGCACCGTTGTCCTTGGCTTGGTTGACCGCCGCGCCAGCCTCGAAGAGCAGCTGCACGCACTCGAGCTGGCCCTTCTCGCTCGCGATGAACAGTGGCGTGGCGCCGCCGTTCATTGCTTGGTTGATGTCAGCGCCAGCGTCGCGCAGCAGCTGGGCGACCTCGAGGTGGCCCTTCAGGCACGCCATGAACAGCGGCGTGGCGCCGTTCTGCCGGGCTTGGTCAATCGCTGCGCCAGCCTCGAGAAGCAGCCGAGCGATCTCGACGTGGCCGTTCTGGCACGCGACGTACAGCGGCGTGACGCCGTTGTCCTTGGCTTGGCTTACCGCCGCGCCAGCCTCGAGGAGCAGCTGCACGCACTCGAGCTGGCCCTGCTGGCACGCAATGAACAGTGGCGTGGCGCCGCCGTTCATCGCTTGGTTGATGTCAGCGCCAGCGTCGCGCAGCAGCATGGCGACCTCAAGGTGGCCGTTCTGGCACGCGATGTACAGCGGCGTGGCGCCATTGTCCATCGCTTGGTTGATGTCAGCGCCAGCATCGCGCAGCAGCCGGACGCACTCGAGGTGGCCCTCCTGGCACGCGATGATCAGCGGCGTGACGCCGCCGTTCATCGCTTGGTTGATGCCAGTGCCAGCGTCGCGCAGCAGCCGGGCGATCCACCTTGAGATCGCGACATACAGCGGCGTGCGGCCTTCAGCGTTTGCATGAGCCACCGCCGCGCCAGCCTCGAGGAGCAGCCAGGCGCACTCGACGTGGCCGTTCTGGCAGGCCATGAACAGCGGCGTGCGGCCTTCAGAATCCGCTTGGTTGACCGCCGCGCCAGCCTCGAGGAGCAGCCTGGCGCACTCGAGCTGGCCCTCCTCGCTCGCGATGAACAGCGGCGTGGTGCCGTCGTTGCAGGCTTGGTTGGCCGCCGCGCCAGCGTCGCGCAGCAGCTGGGCGCACTCGAAATGCCCCTCCTGGCACGCATCGTACAGCGGCGTGAAGCCTTCAGCGTCTGCTTGGTTGACCGCGGCGCCAGCCTCGAGGAGCAGCCGAACGCAGCCGATCTCGCCAGCCAAGCTCGCAGCACTCAGCGGCGTGGTGCCTTCAGAATCCGCTTGGTCAGTTGCCGCGCCAGTCTCGACGAGCAGCCGGGTGCACTCAATCTGCCCCTCCTGGCATGCGATATACAGCGCGGAAGCGCCGTCAACAGTCGTCGCCCCGACGCTCGCGCCGCCCTCGAGCAGCAGCCGCGCCGCCTCGGCCTGCCCGTGCCGAGCGGCCCAGGTGAGCAGCGTGTCCTGCTTCTCGGTGTCGTGCCGCGCGTCGAGCTGGGCCGCGAGCGACGTGCCGCGCGTCCGCCGCCCGGAGAGGAAGGCGCGCAGCGAGGCCAGGTCCCCCGAGCCAGGTCGGCGAGGCGGGTTGAGAAAGAGAGCACCCGGTGTTTCTTTTTTGGAAAAGCGAGCAGGTAATTTTCTTCAACTCGCTGTTCCGATGTGGCGCTCATTGCTCGCCGCTCCACGGCTCTCGACTCCCGCGCCCCCTCCCGCCGCCGCTGCCGCTCGACGCGGCCTCCGCGCCCTCGTTGCGCGCTCTCGGAAGGACGTGCCCGAGGGCGAGGCCGCATCCAGCCTGGTTGATGTCGCGGCGGTCTCTGCGCTGCCAAGGCAGGACCCGAAGGCACGCGACATAGAACACTCGTCCATCTACCGGTGGTGCCGCGCGAGCCCATTCATCCACGCCGCAGTCCGCGTCGCCCGTACGCCTCCAACCACGTACATCGGGCCTCGCACCTTCAGCGCTGAGATCTCTCCAGCACTCAACTCAGTCGCCTCTTCCAACTGAGTCGCCTCTGCCTCGCCTCAGCTCACCACGCCTCGCCGTCAGGCGGACGTGGAGGTGGAGATCTCGCACTCGACCCTCAACTACAAGGACGCGATGATCGTCCTCGGCCAGAAGGGGGTCGTGAGAGACTTCCCCATCACACCCGGCTCTCCACACGCCGCCGCTCTCCCGGGCGGGCGGGTGGCAACATCGTGAGTGTAGCAGTGGTCAGTATGGTTTGCTACTAGGCATCGACTACGCCGGCGTCGTCGCGCGCTCCTCCTCCCCGCTGTGGCGCGAGGGCGACGCTGTCGTCCTCACGGGCAACAAGGCGCGAGATTCGACGAGATTCGCCGAGATTCGACGAGATTCGACGAGATTCCCTTCGGATTCCGTGCTGCCTTTCCACTTTGACGGCGGCGAGACCCGACGAGATTCGACGAGATCCGACGAGATTCTCCGAGATTCACATTTGGATGCCGTGCTGCCTTTTCGTCTTTCGCCGGAATCTCGGGCAATCTCGGGTGATCTCGGCACATCTCGGCTGATCAGGCGGGGCAGTACTTTGACGGCGGCTACGCCGAGCGCGCCACGTGCCGCGCCGAGTGGCTCGTCGCGCTAGAAGTATCTCCCCACATCTCCCCACATCTCCCCACACCTCCCCGCACCTCCCTGCACCTCCCCACACCTCCCCACACCTCCCCACACCTCCCCACATCTCCCCACACCTCCCCTAATCTCCCCTAATCTCCCCTCATCTCCCCACATCTCCCCACATCTCCCCACATCTCCCCATATCTCCCCATATCTCCCCATATCTCCCCGTCTCTCGGGCCCTAGAAGCGGAAGATCTCCCCACATCTCCCCACATCTCCCCACATCTCCCCACATCTCCCCACTCGCTAGAAGCCACATGTACATGTGCACGTGCCGAGGCCGTGCCGCCACTGCAGCGTATGCTCTACTCAATCCCCTTCCCCTCTCGTACTCACACCCTGACGGTGCCGTATTCACACCCTGACGGTGCCGTATTCACACCCTCGTATTCACACCCTGACGGTGCCGTATTCACACCCTGACGGTGCCGTATTCACACCCTCGTGTTCACACCTTGCGGTGCTCACGCGGCCAGGCTGGTCGCGCCGCCGCCCGCCCTCAGCCTCGCGCAGACCATGGCGCGCCGGCGCGGCGGGCGAGCCCTCGGCTGCGGGTGTGAACGGCGTCTCTTCACACGCCCAGCCGTGAACAGGTTCCCGCACGCGCCGCTTGAGCCGTCGGGGTGTGAACGGCGTCTCTTCACACGCCCAGCCGTGAACAGGTTCCTGCGTGCGCCGCTTGATCGGGTTGCGGGTGTGGACGGCGTCTCTCCACACCCCCAGCTGTGAACAGGTCGTCGGCACGGCGGGCGTCACGGCGGCCATGTGCGTCGACTACCTGCAGCGCTTTGGCGAGGTCACGCCGTCGCCACATCTCGGCCACATCTCGACCACATCTCGCCACATCTCGACCACATCTCGCCACATCTCTCCCCACACCTCC